TCTCCGAATCTTGTCCCATACAGTTTTGGAACTGGTGGTAGAAGAGATGCTAGTAGTGAACTTTATCCAAGACTCCTTTTGGCTTTGACGTCGAACCTGCCGAGCATGGGCATGGGCCTACTGATAAACAATGCGATTAGAAAGAGTGGGATAACGTAGAAAGATATCCCAAGGCCCGTTTTTGAGCCTTCCGTGCCTCCTGGCAGGCAGGACTCCACCACGGACGAGGATACTGTGGAAAACATGCCGAGGTCTTAGGAATAGAATAAACAGCCGCCTGGACAATACAGTGAGTCACTGCTACCACACAAACGTCTATTGATGGTAGACAGATGAAGGCAGGATCAAGTTCAGAGAGAGAGGTGAAAGATGGCCAGTCAGCCTGGTCCAGCTTCCACCGTTGCAATCGGGTTGGGTGGCATCGACCATGGCCAACCTCTCTCTGTATGATGGGAGAATGATCACTGCCTCGAGGATCGCTGTCGACAGAAAAACGAGTGAAAAGTGCAGGGGAGCAAATTGAGAGATCAATGGCAGTAAAAGACTGACTAGGTGCATGAAAGTAAGTGTATGTTCCTGTATTGAAGAGAGAAAGGTTGTGATCCGAGAGCATGCGCACTATGGAACGACCCCTCCCATCAATATCAGCACAACCCCAGAGGGGGTTGTGTCCCAAAAGTAAAAAGGGAGGTGGCAACTGGTCAACGAGAGCATCAAGGTCCAACTGATCATAAGTCTCTCCAAGAGACAGGTAGAGAGAACAAACAGTGATGGCACAACCCAAGGAAACAGCCTCCAAGGGTGTATCGAGGGACACAAATAAGGAGGGCACATGCTGGTTGTCCAGCAGTTCCACCCCTCCATGTACCCGCCCATCACACAACCTGTCATTCCGGTACAAGGAAAACTGCCGAGGGGGGATTGTATAGGCAGGTTTCAGGAATGTTTCCTGTAAGGAGAGAAATGCAGGATGATAGGAGTCAATCAAGGCCTTAATGTCATCGAGATTAGAACGAAAACCTCAACAGTTTCACTGTATCAAAGTGGCCATTTTTATGTATGTTTAGGAGAAGAGGGTGGAGAACCCTTCGGTTTATGACCACGTCATTTTTCTTTACTAGATGGAGGTCGAAAGACCTCCATGGATCCCGCCCTTTAACGAGCGGGCAGATCTCTGTCATCAGAGTGAGAATCCAATGACTGAGGACGTGATCGAATAATCGTCCTGCATCTAGGGGCCAAAGAAGGACCCACACGGACACCAGAGGCTGGTGCCCGAGGAGGTTGACCCAGGCAGTCACTGAAAGGAACAGTGGAAACATAGATTGGAGTAGATGTAGATTGATCAACTCTATTATCTATGGAGGGCAGAAGACCCCACACATGACGTGAAAAAGACTCAGATGGAGGCACGGAAAGGCCCATCTGCACTCCCACTGTAGCAGTGGAGCGTAGTGCAGAGGCATAATTCCGCGATGTAGGAGGGAACAATAGCTTCCGAGCCTCAGGATAAGAGATGTTATTTACAGTCTTCAAATGCTGTACCTCTTTCTCCTCCACCTACTTAGGGCAAGACCTAAAGTAGGAGGGGTGGGAACCACTACAATTAACACAGTGATGGTCCATTTTGCACTCGT